TTCTGTGAATGAGTGACCTCCAGGTACTGAAACCCCACATGCCCCCAGAGAGGACACCCTCCCCCACCACATACACACACAGACACACACACACACAGACACAGACACGCGTGCGCACACACAGACACTCACACACACACACACAGACACTCACACACACACACGCGCGCGCATGCGTAGACCCTGCCTCCTTCCTGGCCTTTTCCTTGCTCCTAGTTCACATTAAGGACCGCCTCTCAGGACAGCGACCGAGGGCCCCTGACCCCTCAGCCCCTCCCTTTTCCTGTACACTGTATGTGGGCTGTTTCTTTGGGGAGTTGTAGGTGTTTATTTTTTATTTATGTATTTTAAGAGTTCGAGATTAAGGAGGGAGACCAGGTGTGGATATAAGTCCACATTACTAGGAAGGAGAAGCAGAACTGTTTACCTGGGACTTCCGAGGGGATGAGAAGAGCTTGTGGCTACTCACATTCTTGGTGCTTCGCCTGCCACTTGGATGGCTGGAGCCTACAGTGCCACCCCCTGTCCTCCTGCTTGCTGCCACCTCGCCCCCCTCAGGTGTAGCAAACGAGAGCCTTACTTTACCGATGGGAAGCTGTGGTACAGCCACAGGTGGCACAGACGAGGCAGCTCGCGAGAGAGGCCAGCCCATAGCCCACCGCCAGCCTCTTCCGCTCATGGCGCTTGGAGACTGCCAAAACCTTGTTCGGAAAAGAATCTCTACAGTAAAAGTTTCAGGCATTCGAGAGAGACCTTTTTTTTTTTTTTCCCCTTCTTTTTTTTAACTAGAAATTTTTGCTCCCCAATAAAATTATTTTTTATTAAGGGGACTATCCAGCTTTATAAAATATCTCGGATTTTTTTGGTTGTAAAAGTAGTACATACTTATTAGAGTCCCAATTAAATTCCTCGTGTAGACCGTGACTACCCCAAAGCAAATCTAAACAAAACAAAACAAAAGCCCCAATGAATAAAAAGAGCTTTCTTTTGCATCGGCAGAGACAGTGAGGTGGGCCAGGGGTGGGTGGGGGTCATGCATCATCAGTCAGTCGAGGCCCCTCTCGCTCTGACCAGCCTTGGCTCCAGACTGGCCCTGATGTCGCTGAATACCACCTGGTTCTTGTCAGTTTCCCCCAAGCTGCAGGGAGACCCCATTAGGGCTCGGTCATGGAGACGCCCGCCTGCTCCTCCCCGCCACCCACTGAGAGAACGCAAATGCTCTCGGCAAACGGGTCTCTGCAGCTCATCCTCCATGGGTTTCTTTACCTGGAATTCGAACTTCTTTTAGTCTCTTCGATCTTACAACTCGAGCACACATGCGAAGGGCTCCCTTACAAGCGTAGAATTCAATACAGAAGATTCAGTTAAAGAGCGATGCAAAGGCCACTAAGATACTGAGACCGCCTGACCCATCGGGACCAGTGAACGCCGTTCAGGCCCATGGCCAAGATGGGGTGCATGCCCTCGTGTGTTTCCTCCTGTCCCTCCCCTGATGTTCCTGTCAGCTTGTTGGCTCGTCAAACCTTCTGTTCTTTAAAAAGAAAAGCTAGTTTACCTCAAAGAATCTTGTTTCCATTTGGAAACCAATGACTTTGTGTTTCAGAGTGGGCCTGGTGGCCTTGAGGACCGAGGCCCTGGCTTGGTCATGCGTTGGCTGTGCCGACCAAGGACGAGAAACCCAGGCCCTGAGATGGGAAGGAAGGATCAGATGCAGCTGCCCTCTTCCCCACTTTAGCTTGTAGGGACCAGCCTCTCTCTTCCAGCAGGGTCCTGCCAAGTTACCATAGCAACCAGCAACTCCAGGGGTACCACAACAGACAATGGCTCAGTGAGCCGAGGAGGAGAGAAGGAGTCGGCTGGGGGAGAGGAGTCCGGCCTGGTCAGAGGACCCAGGGCTAAGTCTCCAGCACTAGTGGGAAGAGGAGAAACGAGAGAGAATAATGGGTGGTTTAAGGAACAGGGGCCTTTGAGTCTCGGAGAGAGGCCACTGAAGGAGATAGGGCGGGTCACCCCTGCTCTAGTCACCCCCTCCAGCCGCACCCCACTTCTGTTTCCATAAAGCCCTCACCTTGAACACTGACCCTTTGTTAAAGCAAAGCAAAACATATCTTTAGACAACAGTGTTATAATGAGCCTCAGAGGTAGGTGGGTAAAATCTATTAGAGGAAGAGGGTCTTCTGGTTTTGATTTTTAAAGAAGAGTATCCTAGTAAGATTTAAAAAAAAAAAAAAAGATTTTAAAAAAGTTTTTAAAAAGGAAACCTATGCTATTTAAATTGGAGACCAGTTGTAACTTGGTAAAGGCAAGCTTCTGTACCTTTGTTATAATTAATTGTATACCTGTGTATGTAAATATAAGGCATTCCTATTTTGCAGTTCAGAACAAAAAAAAAAACCTATTTGTAATATAGAATAAAGTTTATTAAAAAATAATAAAAATGTGTTTTGGGGTCTTGGTGTGACTGGTTGGAAGGGGGTGGGCGAGAAGGTTGACCATAAGTAGGCAGTGGTACCTTCTCACTCCGGCTATGTGATATCAGAGATGCCTTCTTTCACTTAAGGCTCTGCCCCGCCTCACAAAGCAGATGTCTCTGGAAGCGATACGGCTTCGAGAGGGTGGGAGCGAACGTGCCACCACGCCAGTGCTGTCAACAGACACCACTTTTGTATAGAGACCGATCAGGCTCTGAGTCTCTCATAGCACTGTCTTCCAGGCGGGCATGTCTAACCTATTAGAGTTGGCTCTGGACAAGACTTAAAGTGACCTTTCTGCCAGGGATGGACGTAAAGCCATCTCTGCTTTAAGTCTTTTTGGCAAGCTACACCTCAGCGTAAATGATTTTATCAGTCCCCTCTCCCCCATTTCGATAGAGGGTGAAGATCTTAAACCCAACTTTGCCTCTAGGATAGAAATAAAAAGAGAAAATGAGAATGAAATGGGCGGCAGTGGAGGTCGGGAACAGGGAAGAAAACAGTATTTCTGCCTGCAGCATCCTTCTGTTCATGGTCCACACTGGCCTCGAGGTGGTGGGGTTTGAGGAAAAAGGAAGCAAATGCAGATGGGCAGCATCAGCCCCTGCCTGGGTCCAGGAAAGCTGCGCCCTCCGCTGTCCCTACAGCTGGCTTCCCGTGAGCAGATACGTCTGGCTCTGAGCCTCAGATCAGCAGGTGGAGAAGGCTGGGCTGGATGTCTCCATGAAAATCCAATGTTCTCATTATTCTAAGCAAGAACCAGGAGAGAGGAGGATAGGGAAGTCAGCAGGACAAGGAAGGAGAGACAAAATTGTCGAAAGGGGAAGAGTAAGGAAGGAAGCGAGGTCGGAAAGGAGTGTGGGGAGACGTAAGACAGACCCCAGAGGCACCTGACAGCTGATGAAACTTCCGGCACATTCTACCCTCCCGTATCTTCCTGCTGCTCCCCAACCACCA